GGAAAGGTGGCTCCTTTTATATTTTGAGATAGGGTCTCTCTTTGGACCTGGAACTCACCAATTTGGCTGGACTGGTTGGCCAATAAGCCTCAGGCATCCTCCTGTCTCCACCTCCCAGCACTGTGCCCAACTTTTTATACATAGGTGCTGGAGACTGAACTCAAATCTTCAGGCTAAATCACATTGTAGGTGGCCACCTTCTGGCCCTCAGCAAGATGTTTTTAACAAGCTGTCCTGGTGGTTCTGATGAATACGCTTGTCTAACAACCACTGTAAAGAACTATCAGCTGTTTAATACAGAACATGTGGCAGGAACATGAGAGATTTAAGCCTTCTCATACCAGAAGCCCTTCTCTTTGTTCTTGAGCAAAGGGGCTCCTCGAAGGAGTCCAGAATAAGGTCTATAGACCGCTAGGATATTTTAGGAAATGAGACTATGGAACAAATGTTGGCACAGGGGTTGGTGGCCCCAGTGTGTTATCTTGCCAAGGCTGTGTGTGGAATGGCAAGGAGGGGAGCTGGGTTGTCAAGACACCATGTCAGGCTGTGTTTCCTGCCTGCACAACGCACTACAACTACAGCCAGGAATGGAGAGGAGGTGCTTTCTCACAATGTCCCCACCGTACTGCTCCTTGCTAGCTCTCAGTTAATGACTAGCATTGTCCAGAACTCTGCAAAAAGATTCCTGCAAGGCAGGCAGGCACACCAGAGTGGGCAAGCAACAGAAATGAAATGGGTTTTGGGTTTTTACTTTAGCAGTATCTCTAGTAACTGCAAAGGAAACAGGAGCGTGAGGAAGACAGACTTACAGCTGATTATCCCAGTACCTAGATAAGAAGTTGAGTGCTATCATGTAACTTGGAAACAAATGAGAGAGGAGGCAGTAGGGCTTGGTGATGCCTTGCTCTCATCCTGGTATTAAGTGTGGAAAGCTGCTTGTTTGTCAAGATGCTTTGTTATTCATGTTTTCACCCTGGCCGTCACCTTGAGACAGAGAAAAGAAGAAGTTTCACCAAGTTCCTTAAAACTTGTTCCAAATTCCCTAAAGCTTGTTTACGTGACCTTGGACCATATCTGCTATGGGGCAGTAGTTTTAGAAAAGTTTGGCAGTTCCAAAAACTTTTTGTATTGATGTGACTTGTTTTTGCTTTGCCTATAAAAAAATGAATCATGGAATAAACCCATACTGCATTGTCATACTGACAACCCTCTTGAGCTGATCCCGTGTGTAGTGTGATTTGTTTTAATTATTTTAATCCTCACTTCCCACTCAGATACTGTTTGACTCTGCCAGTGGGCTCTGACAGTTTGGTGCCCAAACCAGGGACCTGGGATATGGGGAAGTAATGAAGGACACCGCAGTGTTGAAGAGCTCAGACCATAAAGAGTCTCAATGAGGAAAAATCGGGAGTAAAAAATGGGACAAGGCAGTAATGTCATGTTTTTTGTATGGTCTTTAATTGGAGACAGGCTGTTTCTGTGGCACAAGACAAAGAAAACTTTTAGGGTCAGAGAGAAAGAGGAAAGATAAACAGGAGGCTTGGAGACAAAATAGGACTAAACCATCAGCTCCTCCTGAAAAATTCTATGTCTCTTCTGATGATGATAATTCTTTGCTAGGAGAAGACTCTGAAGATGACTTAGATTCTGATGAGGTTGCAGAGCTGGAGGATTCTGAGAGATATCCTCTGATTCAGGCTATGAGTGTTAAAAAACAAAACAACAACAACAACAAAAAACCACCAAACTTGAGCCTTGCCAAAAGAAATTAAGAAGTTGGAATGGGGCTTGGACAGAAAAATTGGAGAATTAAAGATTAGCGAAAATGAGGCTCAATCCCCACTCCAGCTCCCTCATTGATTTCAGGCTTGGATCCTCCTCTTAAGATGGCTACTGTTGCTATAGCTCAAAACAGGAGTGGGCCTTTTCCTTTGTTCACTGCGAGAGCAACTGTATCCCCTTTACAAACTTCTTTACAACAAGCTGTGCAGAAAGGAGAAGATATAACTGAGTTTTATGGTTTTCCAATTATAGAACGACCTGACAGTCAGGGTGATAGGGTTGAGAGTCTGCTCCTATTTCTTTTAAACAATTAAAAGAACTAAAAACTGTATGCTCTCAATATGGTCCTACAGCACCTTTTACTCAAGCTTTGTTGGAATTCTTGTCTACTGAGTCCTCTGTCCAGGGGACTGGCAGCAATTAGCAAGAGCATGTTTATCCATGTTTATCAAGAAAGCTAATAGTTAATTCTGCTACAAAACCTCTGTGGTCATAAAAAATTGGATTCAACAAATAGCAAGGTGTTTTGTCTATTTTCAATGTATAAGTTTACCATATTCTATATGTCTTGGCTATTGATTATTGGTCATTGGGTATGTTTAAAATCTGTAACATAAAGTTAACTTAAACCTAGGGATGTAACTCATGTCCCAGAATTTGGAAAACTAAAATATGTTCATGTAACAATTGATACTTTTTCAGGATTTATCACGGCAACTCCCTTAACAGGAGAAGCCAACAAACATGTTATAAGTCATTGTTTAAAATGTTTTGCTACAATTGGTATTCCTTCCATTATAAAGACTGATAACGGCTTGGGATATATGAGTCAAGCTTTTCAGCGTTTTTTTTGTGCACAAATGAATATAAGCCATAAAACGAGCATTCCATATAATCTTCAGGGCCAAGGGATTGTTGAGCATGCCCATGGATCTCCTAAGAACCAATTGCAAAAAATAAAAAAAGGGGGGGGTCATATACCCAAATTTTAATCATGCTATTTTAAATTTTTTGAATGTGTATCTACAAGGCTGTTCTGTGGCATCCTAATACCAAAGATAATCATGCCCAAGTGAAATGGAAAGATCCCATTACTGGAATGCGGCAGGGCCCTGACCCTGTATTAATATGGGGAAGAGGGCATGTCTATGTTTTTCCACAGGACACAGAAGGAGCCGGGTGGATCCCATAAAGGCTGGTGCGATTTGCAGGAAATGCTCCCCGGAAGAAGGGTGTTGCTGCTGTAGACCATGGTGAATTCTGTTCTGCTGGTGAATGGAAAGCTGTATTGGGCTTATGCTCCTGATCCACCTTTGTTTCATTCTGCTCACGGGAGATGTTGTGCAGAGAAACCTTTTAAATACAATGTGACTGGACTAGATTAACCTGGTAATCAGGACAATTCTCAACAAAATCGGGAAAAATGAGAAAGAGGACTGACTATGGGACTTTGGTCTGATTCTGGTTTTCAGCAGACCTATATTTGGAAGCTTGCTTCAGAAACTCTTGGGAGGCCCTGTAACTGCCTATGTATATTCTCCTTATGTTTCGTTGTTTGGGAATATTAACATTTTTATACAAGAACCAAACTTTAATGTTTCTTGCCATTAATGTAAACAAACTGTATTTCTAAGCTTTCAAATGGACAGCAGGTTCTGTCTGTTTGACAGCCTTCTTTTATTATGGCTCCTGTGATGTTTCTCAGGCTCGGTGTTCTGATCAGAGATTACAAAAGTGCTAGAAGCAGACCTAAAAGAATGGTTGGGTTCATTAGTGCAGGTATTATGGCCCTCGTGGTCCTCTTTTCACGTTAACTTTATAGGACTTGGCTTATTAGGAGCATCCTACAAGGGATAATTAAAACCTTCATCAAGGCCTTCTGGAATATTAAAGCTGATCTGCATAAGATTAAACTCCAGTATCCACCCTAGTGAGGTTGGTAGAGATAGGTAAGCTCTCTCTGAGGTATGTTCAACCTAAGAAGATGCATGAATGATGGAATTCATGTACCAATGACAGGTAAGAATATATCTTTCAAGAGACACAACCTAAGACAGGCACAATCTTCTGCTCTGTAACTCTTAGGTTACAGTCTTTTAACGTATAGAAAAGGGAGACCTGTGGAGAGCTGCTTGTTTGTCAAGCTGCTTTGTTATTCGAAAAACATGGTTTCACCCTGGCCTTCACCTTGAAACAGAGAAAAGAGGAATTTTTTGCCAAATTCCTTAAAAATTGTTCCAAGTTCCTTAAAGCTTGTCTGTGTGATGTTGGAACATATCTGCTATTGGGAAGTAGTTTTAGAAAATAATTTTGGAGGTTCCACGAACTTTTCTTTTTGTATTGATGTGACTTGTTTTTGCTTTGCCTATAAGAAATGAATCGTGGAATAAACCCACGGTGCAGTCATTACTGACAACCCTCTCCAGCTGATCCCATGTGTAGTGTGATTTGTTTTAATTATTTTAATCCTCACTCCCCACTCAGGCACTGTTTGACCCTGTAGGTGGGCTCGGGCAATTAAGGCTATGCCAAGGACATCATGAGTTCAAGACCAGCCTGGGCTACAAAGTGCAGCCCTGTCTCAAACAAAACAAAACAAAGACAAAGGCAGAAGCGTACAGGACTGTGGGTTTGTCTGTGTGAGGGGCAGGGAAAAGAAAGCCTCCATTTGAGTAGGCGAGGAAAGAGCAAGACATCCTGCCTGGCACAGTAGTACTGGAATCACCTGGCTATAGGTCGGAATACAAGCGAAAGGCACTGTTCTCGTTTCCAGAGTGTTGGGCTTAGGAGTCACTCAAGGGTTCAAAACTGCGGCTGCGACTTTGGAGGGAGGATTCGATCAGTTGTTTTGTTGCTGTATACCAACCACACAGAACAGCGCTCAGTACATAATCTTTTCTTTTTTTTTTTTTTTTTTTTGAGACCAGGTCTCAATAAATAAGTAGTTCAGGCCCGTCCACAACTTTCTACTCTTTTGCCAGGGTCTGCTGCGAATACCCCTGTAAGCCACACCCAGGTTTAAGGGATAGTCTCTGGGGGTTTGATTCCCGCACAGGGATTAACACAAAAAAAAAGGATGTCCACTCTAATACGACGGATTCGTATTCTTTCTCCGTCTGTACCTGTAAAGGTTGCATAATGAAACCACACAGCCTAGAACTGGACTCCGAGTAGGCGCTCAACAAGTTGTGTTTTCCCTCCCCCTCTGACAATAGAGCGGGTCCCCAGGCGGTTCCTCTCTCTCTGGGCGTCTCCGTCTCTGCTCACCCCCGCAGGCTCAGCCAGGCCCCGGACACGCCGGGAGGCGAGAGGAGGGGGCGCGGCGGCGGCGGTAGCGCGGAGCCGGCTCCGGTCTTACGTAAGAAACGGGTCCCCGCGCGGCCAGCCGGGCAGAGAGGCGGCGGCGCCGCCCAGCGGGATCCGGGCTGAGTGTGGCCGCGCTTCCCTCTCGGCCGAGGTGAGCGTCTCCCGGGGCTGTTCGGGGAGGAGGTGGGGCCCTCCGGTTGCCGGCGGCGGCCGCTCTGGGGATGCAGACAGTCCCCGGGAAACGGCCAGCGAGAGGCTCCGGACCCGCCCACGTGCGTCCCCGGGATCGCGCGCCTGGACCGGGCTGCAGGGGAGGGCCCGGGTGGGTCTGATTGACCTCTGACCCCAAGGGGCCGAGCTCGGAGGGCTGGGGTGGCCCCCCGCGGCGCTCCACCGGCGCGGCCTAGGGGCGAGGAGGTGGCGGAGGGCGGGGCCGAGGGGCGGGGCAGTGTTAAAAAGCCTCTCCTCCCCCCCTCCCTCCCCTCCTCCCCCGTAGGGGTGGCAGGCGAGTCCCCGCGTGCGGAGGGTGCCGAGGCAGGGGCCGCTGGGCAAAGTGCGCGGGCTGCCTTCCCGGCCACCCTCTCCCCGTCAGAGCCATGGCTTCCAAACTCCTGCGCGCGGTCATCCTCGGGCCGCCCGGCTCTGGCAAGGGCACCGTATGCCAGAGGATCGCTCAGAACTTTGGCCTCCAGCATCTCTCCAGCGGCCACTTCTTGCGTGAGAATCTCAACGCCAACACGGGTGAGGGGCCGGGGAGGTGGCGGGGCGGGGGTGGTCGGGCCGGGAGCGGGGCGGTGGCGGGCTCGGGTCCCCTCGGCTCCCTGCCCCCGCCCGCCTGTGCCCGTGCCGGCTCGTACGTGCCGCGGCGCATGCAGCCGGCCGGCCGCCCGCCCGCCCGCGCGGCTTAACCGCGCCGGGAGGAGGCCGAGGCCGCCCGGCCGCTCGGCGCGTGGGGCGGACCCTGCGCACCCGGCGGAGGGAGGACTCGAGCCGCCCGGCGGGAACCCCGACTGGCCTCTCCGGAGCACCGTCTCCCGGAGGCGGAGCCCCCCGGGCCCCCTGCTGCGCTCCTGCCGGGACGCGCGTCGCCCTCACCCGCGGAGTGCTGGGCACCGCGCGCCGCCCACCTGTGGGAGTCGCGGGCCGCCGGCGCGCCGGGACTCGGCTGCGCGCTCCAGCCCGGACCCGAGTGCTGCGTGGCGGGGAGAGGCCTGTGGTCGCTGAACGGCGGCCGCGGCACACTGTCCCCGCCGGCTCCCCTCCTCCTCAGGCGCAGCCTGGCCGCCCGTAGACCTGTCCTGAGGAAAAACAACAACAACAACAACAACACAAAATTGCATTTTGAGTTCAGCTTTATTGCGCGTGGCCCCTTTGAGGCTGTTTCTCGGCGGGGGTGGTGGTGAAGTTGGGGATCTAGACCGCCGCATCTTCTAGTCTTGCAAGTTCCTTCCTTCTCCCCTCTTCTTCTGCTCCGGGTTCCAGAGGAATAAGCGTGAGGAGGCGAAGCAGCAGCGAGGTACTGTGAGGCGCAAACCCTTCTGGGATGCAGATGAGCGGGATTGGCAACACCCGCTTGTTGCTCGTGAGGCCCCTTCCCAGGTTCTGTTCATAAACCTGCGCTTCAGAACAGGTCGGTGGAGGACGATGTTGGAAAGCAGGTTAAAGGCAAAACCACTTTGAGCACCTCAAAGGCTGCTTATTGGTTTCTTCTGTGAAAGCCAACCTTTATCTGGGTTCCCCGGGGCCACTTTCCCTCAAACCTGTGCCTGAGACAGAAGGGTTTACGTGTGCCAGACCCGGCCCCACCACTCTGGGATCGAACCTAGGTCCTCGAATAGCCTAGGCAAGTACCGCACCACTGAGCTACACCCCAATCTGGTTTTAAGTTAAAAGTTTAAAATCTTTTCTTACTTGAGCCGGGTGTGGCGGCAGAGGACTATCATCCCGGCACTCCGCCAGGCAGAGTTAGGCTGAGTTGGAGGCCAGCCTGGTCTACAAAGCGAGTCCAGGACAGCCAAGGCTACACAGAGAAACCCTGTCTCGAAAAACCAAAACAAACAAAGCGCCGCATTTATTTGTAGGTGAGTGCGTGCGGAGCGCAGATCCTCAGGCTTGCTGTCAAGGGCCGGTACATTTGGAGCCTTGTCAGGACCCTTAGAATGGAGCTGGGGCTTCTGTCTCAGGAGCTGGGATTGTAGTTATAAGATCCCTTTTCTCTGCCGAGGCTCCAGCCTCATGCCTGTGTGAATGCAAGGCGAGCACCCTTTATTCTCCTGAGCCACATGCAGGCCTGCACTCCCCTCTTCTGATGCACCCTTCCAGTGTTTGGAAGGGGGCAGAACAGTGTGAGGGCTTGTGCGTAGGTTTGGGCTTCCCCCAGGTGAGGCTATGGAGAAGGCTAGCTTGAGTGAAGGTAGCCTAAAAATAGCCAGTCCATCTCATAACATCCTGTGCACTTTCATTCTGCAGTGAAGAGTTTTACACAGAACCTCTGCGGCTGGGCTACTGTCCTTTTTCTTTTGAATGGGAGTAGAGGTAGCTACCCTTATTGGGGCCTCAAAGGCCACACACTTGATTTTGATTTACTGCTGCATAGTTGATGGCCTCCATGCTGAGGCAGTTGGAAGTCTGGCAGCTTGATGGTGGGGTCAGCCTGGTGGAGGAGATCCAGAAGGAAGGCAGGCTCCCGAGGGCTCTGTCTCGGGCTCTGCTGTCCTTGCTGTTGCGCAGGAGGACGAAGGCTTCTGATGGCTCATCAGCCTGAAGCCTGAACTGTATTACTGTATAAGTGTAGCCCTGGTTGTCCTGGAACTCTGTAGGCCTGGCTGGCCTCAAACTCAGATCTGCCCTGTCTCTGCCTCCCAAGCGCTGGGGTTAAAGGCACTCGCTGCTACTGCCCAGCATGTTCCTATACATTTAAATGCCTTCATTCCTCCACCCTTTCTTCTAGCAGAAGTGCTTTTTTTTTTTTTTTTTTTTTTATCACTTAAACACTTGGCCAGGGAAAGACGATAAATAAGATTTCGGTCTGTTTTGCAAATGGCTTGTTCCTAGTGGACCTGGTGTGTGCGATTTCACTATATCTCTCTATAGGTCTAAGTGAAGGTCTTAGGGACAGTGTAAGAACACATTCCTCAGTATTTTCCTGTCACCCGCTGATTGCTTTTCACCTTCTAGCGAAGCCAAGAACCCTTCTGAATGTACAGTGTATGGTTGAAGTTTGAAGGAGATGATAAAACACAGCAGACCCAGGGAGTAGAAACCTCGGCAGCAATTTAAATTGGAAAGTAGTGCAGGCCATCTGCTGCAGCCTGGATTTGGGCAGGATTTGGGCAGGCTCTTGACTACATGGCTTGCCTCCTGCGGCCATAGTCTGGCAAAAAGCTGCAGGAAAGGGCCTAGGCTACCTCACAGGTATGGAGGAGGAACTCATGGCCCTGCAGAATCAGTCCATCTCCTTCCTCTGTACTCACCATGCTGATTGCATCAGCTGCTTCTCGGATGCAGTGAAATGAAGGCTCATGGCGGTCTGCCTCATGGCGGTCCATGGCAGCATGCCTACCTTGTTTGTGAGCCTGGTGCCTAGTGCTTAAGAAAATGAGGTACCAGAAACTTTGCCTTTTTTTTCGAGACACGGTATATTCCTGACTGTCCTGGAACTCAACTCTGTAGACCAGGCTCACAGAGATCTGATTGCTTCTACCTCCCAAGTGCTAAAAGTTTTTTTTTTTAATTTATTTTATTTTAAACTAAAAGGTTTGATTGGTTGGTTGGTTGGTTGGTTGGTTGGCTATTCAAGACGGGGCTTCTCTGTGTCACTTTGGCTGTCCTAGACCAGGCTCTCCTGGAACTCACAGCAATGCCTGAATACTGTGGTTTTTTTTTTTTTTTTTTTTTGAGACAAGACTATGTGAACTCTGTTGCCTTTATCCCAGGCTAAACCAGCCTCTACCCACTGACTAGGTGCTAAGATTGTAGTCCTGTTCTAGTAGGAGCAGGTTAATGAATGTTGTGCCTCTGACCGTACCTTCTCCCTGTTCGTAGAGCACATGTTTTACCCCTGAAATTGGGGTCTGGCAAACTAATGCACCGGAAAGAGGCCCTGTTGTCTGTATGTCCCGTCATAAAAATTGTGTGTGTGGTGTTTTGCCAGATGTTACATAGCCTGCTTCAGTTTGATTAGTGCTTACAAAGGACTTGAGATTAGTTTCCTTGATAGTTGCCCCCTCCCTCCCCTCCCACTTTCTTAGGCTGCCTGCAGCTGTGCAGGCTGAGGCTTATCAAATTCCTTACTTGAGGACCTGGCCTCCAGGTCTTTAGCTTGTATTTTCTTAGTACACACTATGAAGAAACAGAAAGGCTTGCCTTAAATCGCAATGAGCTCACAGGGACTATTAAGCTCTCCTCTATCTCCCTCACATAGTGTGTGTGTTTAAGTGAATGCATACACCAAGCTTGGCAGGCTTTCAACTGTATCCCATCAAAGATGCTGATTTGGGGTGGGACTGTAGCTCAGCTGGTGGAGAGCTTACCCAGCACTGACAAAGCGCAGCTGTGTTTTGAGGCCTCGCACTATGCATGCTTGAGTGCCCAGTGGCTGTAACGTTAGTACATGGAAGGTTGAAGTAGGTAAGTCAAGATGAACGTGGGACTAGAACTACTTCGGGGGGAAAATATGTCCAGAAGGAACAAAACCCCCAAGAACTGATGTTTTGTGATCGCTTTGTTTGCTGGGTTTTTAATCAAGGAACCAAACCCCCCAAGAACTCTGCTATTTTGTGATAGCGTCCTTTGCTGGGTTTTCTCTGAAGGATATAAAGATCCTGTTTTAAGGGTCAGGCAGGTGGTGGTATCGGAAGAAACGGGCACTTTTTAATATTGCAGTCTAGTATCTCAAGGGTAGGAGAATTGGAGACGGTCCATTTGGAAGCATCTTGGACTCCACTAAAGAAAAGATGTTCAAGAAGGAACCTGTTTCTGCTCTTAATTAATATTAACTGCAGCTCTTTCCAGGGTGTCACAGATGGACCAGCATTCCAAATGAGGCCGTGAGCTGATCCTCTCTGAAAAGATGACCTCGTTCAAAGGGCTCAGGCTTTTGGGTACTCATTAAGTATAAATGTGCAACTTATGTAAGGGTGAATTTTTTTTTTTTTCCCTGAGAATTGAGGATCAGGGGCTTTGGAGACCTGAGTCAGTTCAGTATTAGACCGAAAGCATCTTTAAATGGTTAACCTTCCCTGGTTTATTATCCAAGGTCTCGGCTTATTCCGAGATTTCTAGTGTATGCTACATTCCAGTTTGCCCTTGTTTGGCGAGACTCAGGATGAAGCCCAAATCGGTGAAGGGCCGGTTTTAAGAGTCTTCTGGGCTGTGGAACCAGTTCAGTTGGTAGCCTGCCTACCATGTAGGAAGCCCTTGGCTTGCTCCCTTGCTCTGTATATGGGAAGAGTCAGACATTTGAGTCTAGCTTGGGTTCTGGGGAATCTGAACTCCAGGCAAGCACATCAGGAACTTGACCATCTCTCAAACTGCCCATACCTCAGCGATCTTGAACGTCTGAGCTTGCTGCAGAGACTCCTCCACCATGCCCTTTTATATGCTGCCTGGGATTGAAGCCAGAATTCTGCATGCTAGGAAAGGATCAGTTTAAATTGTTTCCATAGGTTATTTTCATAAGCAAATAACTATGAAAAAGTCACATTGACAGTGTCATCCTCTAATTTGCAGACATTTTCTGA